CGGACTGGCCTCGCAGGGCAATGCAAGGCTTGGCCTCAAATTCTGGATCCTCTGTCAACGACACACGAATAGTGTCACCTGGCCAGGCGGCTCAGAGCACATGAACGACAATCGCAGCTGGATGTTCGAAAGCGCAAAGAACGCAGAATTGAGGACCGTTCCAAGGCCGTCCAAAAGCAGGGCTCCAATGCCAACTGCCGACTTGATACGACCTCTCAGGTTTTTGGTGTGCTGTCAGAATGCTGCGACTTGAACACGGGCACCGTCAGAACCACCACCGGCTTCCGTGACGCCCAGGTGCAGGGGGTAGTCCTGACGGGTTGATGGCTGGAGCAGCGCAGCCGCAGCACAACTCGACGACTTCCAGTCCCAGCCGAGCTTGTACATTTCGCGCGCCAGCTGCCGGTACGCATTCACCTGCCACGACATGTGACGATGGCACCAGGAGATTATCAAAGAAAAGAGGGCCCTTGCCATGACTTGTGGATTTGAAGACTTCATGCCTCAAGGACTCAACCCGATTACGAAGGTCGCCGACTTTTCTGCACATAGGCTACGGCTGAAGATAAAGTTGTGGAAATCGTGTTTGCGGCAGATCTCTCCGAACTCAAGGGCCGACGCCACCATGCCTTCAGGCCTGGGTCCATTCTCCACTGGCAATGTGACATCGAGGCGTTTTTTGTTTTTGGCGTTTCTGCCAACACCTGAGATTAGCACGAGTCTCCATATTGAAACAGGATTCGCTCAGCCAGAGATCCATGGTTCACACCTTGCGCAGGAATAAGCCGCCTGGAGTGGTTTCGACAGTCCATGCGCCATGTGCTAAGTCTCCATACCAATTCGCATGGACTTGTTCTGCTCCTTCAACTTGAGGACCTAAGCTCTTCCACTTTGAGGCGAACAGGACATTGCTGGTGACTGTGATGTCTCCGATCCTTGGAAACCTTCGGGGTACTTGCGGGTGTCCCAAGTATCTACGCAGTTGCAGTCCCTCAATTTGTGGCCCCGCCTGCCCACGACATCCACTCTGTCAATTGCACAGCTCGGAGCCGGACCAAGGGAGTCAGTGCCTCCTCAATTGCATCTTTGGCTTCTTGCACGTCCTGTCAAGGTGAATGGGTTTCCTCTGGGGAAGTGGGCGAGAGTATCCCATCACAACGAACATCTCCATTCTCTGACAGTCTGACAAACACCAATTCCGGCGAAAAGTCTTCTGCGAAGGTGGAGCATCACTCAAACAGACCTGTCGCCCAGCTTGACCAGCCCTTGCAATCCCATTCTGCAACTGCAGGCGGTATCAAGTTCGTTTGCGGGCTGCCGTTAACTGCAATTCCTGCAGCCGGCAGCGACCTTACTGAAAGGGCACTGCTTTCATTTCGGGATCCAGGCTGTCGGTTTTCTGGTCCACATTGACATCTTCACTACGGGTTCCTCTGTTCGGGACAGACTATTAGTATGTTTGTCCTCCTCTGTCAGCTCATCGATGGTGTCAAAGGACTTGCGGCCTAAATGCTGTAACCGAGCACATCATAAAGACAAAAACTCTTGTGGTCTTGTCGTGCGATGAGATTCGACGCTGCGGCTGCAGCCATCTGCAAAATTGCCAGGATTCACTCGAACCTCGTCATGTACTATGACAGCAGAACGGTGCTTGCTTCTTATGCAAGGTCGGACCTTGTCCACGAAGTCAGCACAAACCAGTGCAACCTTGGGCGTGAAGTGGATGTCAGCGACGAGAGGGGTCTTGTATCCTGGCTTCACTGCGCTGCATGAATTCCAGAAACTGTCTTTCGAAGTATGTACGATTGGCCATCTTCGAGGAGACGGTTTTTGATGTGCTCGCAAGCTTTGGCTTCCTTCCTCAACAAAGCGCACCCTCTTCCATTGCGAAGCTCAGACTCAGAGGACGAGCCCGTCGCATGCCCTGCACTGTCAATCGCACCTGGGTGTGGCCGATTGCTTCCAGTGCAGCTTGCGACAAGCACGAAGCGGCATGAGGGCCAGGCAATATCGATGCCCATGTCCGCACACTTCTTGACCTGACAATCCCAGCTCCCCGCATCTCTGAGAGGAAGACGAGCAAGCGGTGCAGAGGTCTGACCTGGGCGACGGTCGCCTCAACATCAGTTGTCAGCGTCGTCGTCCTGAGCCGATGTGCAAACTGCATGCCAGTCCGGACGGCTGTACATCAGATTCGGTCACCATCTCTTAGGTGTCCGCATTGTCTGAGTTGCAATGGGGTGCTCGGAGCCGACTGGCACCTCGCCAACGTAAACCTTGCGACACAACGAAGACTTTCTTGCATTCGATGCTGCAAAAGCCGGTTTGGGCTCTTGCAGTGCGAGTTTTGCGTCGTTCACATTTCTCCAACGCCTCGCAGTAGACACCTGTCGGCTCCACGTTTTCGACAGCAGATTAACATGATAGTGAGAGCAGGTTGCTGAAACAACCACGCAGCGAGGCACCACTGTGATCCAACGTAAGTTACCTTGCGACCCGCCCGTGCGAGAAGCTAGCGCTTGCGGTTACAAAGCTTGGTTCTCGGCGGTCCTGACTGTGCGAAGGAGTGTGTTTCTTCGGGGAAATGCAGCGATCGCTCCTAGAAGCCTTATAAGTGTGTGCCTCAACACCGAAAGACCACTAAAGCCAACTTGGGTTATCTGCCTCGAGATGCTCAGCTTTCTCCGCTCATGAGCGCTCGGATGGGTGGTCCCAAGCTGGGGAAGCTTCAGCGGGGTTTCTCACCAGCACCAGCCTTTCAAGGCTGCGCAATGCTTCGCACTCTTGCAGGCCCTCCAAAGCCTTGGACTCACAGCCCCATGAGCGTGCTGGCGCATGGAGTTCAATCCTTTGGCCACTTCTTTCTTGCCACACATGCTCTTCCGCAGTGATCCGCTGCATCTTGGTGAATATCGCTCTCATCGAATTTGTTGCCGGAGCGCATGGAAACAAGTTTGAGAGTGGACAGTAACACCGCGTCCTGCAATGTCTTGTAACATGCAAGTGTGGTTGTCCTTCGCATGGAATTGCTAGGCCCTAATCCTGGTATGATTCGGATTCCAAACAGTATTCTCGACGACTGGCCCATTGGATTGAGCAGCTGGTTTAAGAGTCGGATGACCGTCTGCTCGCCAAAAACATCGAGTCACGTTCAGCTCCCCGTCAATGCTGGCTTTGCAGCACAGATGTCGAAAACGACCATGGTCTTGGCCGTTTTTCGATGAAGCAGGCTTGTTGGTGCAGGTTTCGGGTCAACGTTTGGTTTATGTTGCCCCGCAAGTTGGGTTCCTGGCCGCCCATCGAGCTCCGCTCTAGAGAAAGCCAGCTGCCACTTGCACACCCATCCACACCCACAACTCTTAGTTGAATCAGTCCACTCATGCCATTGCCCATAACAAGGCGAAGTGCCCAGCACGAACACACCTTTTCGACACTCTGCCTACTTGCATCGCATGTTGCTGCTTACTTCGCCACAGCGAGGCAAGAACACAAGATTCATGTACCGAAAACAAGACATCATCCGGATCCATAGTGCCAGCTGCCGCACCCGGTGCTTCTAGGCTGCGTTTATCTTCTGGTCCTCGAGCCATTCTTTTTGTTAAGCCTCATCTGCGAAGGAGATCCAGCACACGGTTTGGGGAAGGGTTAGCTCCCCAGTTTCCAATTCAAGACCACCACGCGGTGCTGCTGCACCCGAACAGGTGGCACGCTGCCTCCGGTGGAGCAAAATCGTGCGTGGTGGCGAGCGCTTTGTGAAAAGCAGGTGCTGCGCCAACTTCAACTCGTGTAAGCGCAGGTGGCGTTATCAGAGCTGATTCGTGGTCGCCTAACCAGGGCCTTTTTTGATTTGTGTTGTTCATTTCCAGACAGAGTCAATGACGGCTCTGCTAGAGACTGGCCGCAATACACTAGGCAAGGGCATGCTCTGTCTGGCCTGGAGGAACAGCTCTGCGTGCTGCAACTACTCGCAGACCCTGCAACGAAGCAATTTGTGCGGCCGAGTGAACAGGATTCGCATTCAACCTTGTTACGTGGCGTGCCTTACGCGCAAGTCCAGGCTTTTTTCTGCCGCCTTGTCAAGCACAAACGCTATCTGTGACAACAGTCACCTAGGCGACTTCCAACAACCAGGACCCTTGCTCGTCAGGGCAGCAAATGCAGATCCGGCAATGGCTGCCGTGGCAGCCTGCTCAGGCACATTGCTGCGATTCAGTTTGGGCAACTGTCGCTGAAACACCGAAGACACCTGGCTCTGAACACCAGGTCTGGTTGGCACCTACAGTTGTTGAGACAAGAAACAGTGAACCTTCATGTCGAGATCTGCGCTTACCAGGTGGCCGACAGAACGAGGTGCATGCTCAACACTTGGAGCCGCCTCAGAACGCCAAACCTATGCCCCTTGCAGGCCGTTGCACCATTAGTCAGGGAAGCCTAACTTGAGCCTCAGAACTGGCGACAACTAAACCTGTTCACATGGCGCGAGTGTCCGGACGATACCTCCAAACTCGACAGCATGTTGGGTGGCCAACGAGACGTTCTGCCCCGCCACGGGCAGCTATGAAGGCAGTGGCCTTTCGGAACCAGCAAGAAGATGATCATCTACGGCGAATGGCTTATCAAGGCTGGAGCAGGCACTGTAGCCATTTGAGACGGTTCCTGACCAGAGATCGAAATTTTCGTAAAAGCACCAGCCTACATCGGCCTACATCCTGCTTTGCCATCCCTGATACTAGTTGCTGCACCTCCGCGAAGGGATCAGCCCTACAAACCGTGTTGCGTCACTGGGCGGAGGCCGCCAGAGAGCCGAAAAAATTATATCCGCGACTGGGATCATGGTCGAAAGGCTTCATGAGTCTAACGACAGGGGCATCTCACCCGGGACTGCTCTGGACAAGTGCCGTTTTCATGCGACTGCTCGCACTGGAAAAAGCCCCCTATCTCCCGCCTGGCTTCTGTGCTCAGGTCTGCGAAGCCAACAAACTTGAGAGTGTCTGTACAAGTCAAGCACCAATGGTCTCTCGCAGACGTCGGGCAACGCCTGTGACCTCAGCCGATGCGAAGGACAACTCGCAAGGCCACAGCTCGAGGCGCAGCGCGATAAGTGCAGGAAAAGTGCTGCAGCTGCTGCAGCAGCAGGTGCGCCACTCAGGCCAGGTGCTTTCGGCCTTAAGATCGGGCTCGCACCGCGACAACGACAACATGACGTGCAGCGAGTGAGACACGGCGATGCTGTCGAAAGCTGTTTAAAACTAAAGTTGCTGGGTGAAGGATGTTGTTAACAAGCAGGGGCCGACATGGCACAAGCGGAGGCTCGATGCTTTCGTCTTCTGTGGAGAGGTGGAGCACTCCTTCCGTGTACGTCTGAAGCTCGATCATCTTCGTTGCCTGCGCCTCCAGCATCCTCCAGCATCGCAGGGACGGTCCAACACCCTGCAAGCATCTGCAAGCCACGAATCACCAGTGGTCTTTTGTGGATACTCCGGTATTTTGTACTTGGTCAGGATGGACGCTGGTAGCCGGCTGCGCTCTGGCATCTGCCATAAGCCCAGATGCCACAAAGCACAGCACAGACTGCAGCTATGCCCAAGCGAGTAAGCCACAAACCCACCGCATCGGAGCCCTCGGTGGGATCCACTGAGATACCCATCAGCTGCATGCATATCTGGTAAGGCCTGCTGATGGAAAGGAAGTCAGTGTCGATCACGTTGATCTGAATCCGAGGTTCTTGTCGTACGGCTTCAATCACGAAGCTTTGCAAGTCTAGGAGGAAGGGTTCCAAGAATCTCAAGTTTGATTGTGGCCCGTGGTCGGAATTCATAGCCTCGTACATCAGTGGTTCTGCGTTGTTGGGATTGGCCTGCATAACGTAGTACCTGGAATGTTGCGTGGCTTCAGATTTCAGATCCTGCAGTAACCAGTCCTTTGCAAGAGTCAGATTGCCGCTGGCCATGGCGGATGCCCAGTTCTCGGCCAAGTCCAGCTCGCTGATTGCATGGGAGTCGTGGCGAGCGCCTTTGACAAATACCTCAACACGTACAAACTGCGACGAATGTCAGGACGCACAGGACATGTCAAAGAAAAAAGAGCGGCAGTACTGCCTTTTGCGGAGGCACAGCGATCCGCTTGTTCAGATCCACAAGCTCACCAAGGGTTTTGTCGAAAAGCTCACGTCGGCCGATCATAATTTCTCCTGAAAAAGACGAGGGATCGGCAACAATCGTGCCGAGTCTTGACAAGACGAGTGTCCGCACCCGTGTAGTAGTGAAAAGGTGCAACCGGCTTCGAAGCACCCAGGTCACTGCGAGAATGCTTGCGACCCCGTCGGTACTAACAGGCAACGGAACTAGAACATTGCACCTGCGACATTCTTCGCTTGGGCTGTTTTGCAGCGATCGCGCCTAGCTCCCACTCCACTGCTGCGACGAGAGCATTCACATCAGATTTGTCGAAGACTTTGGACGCGTTGTTGTGTAAGTTGTTGAAAGCCACGAGGACCTCTCAAGCTGCGGACTGTCGGGGTTGATCTGGCAAGCTGGAATGTGAGCGGGGTCAGCAAGGGGTATCTGAAATTGTCAGCTCAGTACCATAACAGAGTTGCCGTCAAGCAACAACCTCTTTGGGATGCTCGTGAAGAAAGTGCCGAATGTCATGCAATGTCGACAGGACCTTGGCGAGAATGCACAGCCCAGAGCAATGCGGCTCTGCACATCTTGTCTTTTCCCGCTTTGGACTGAGGAATTTGCTGCCTGGCCGCCGTCTCATGGGTCGTGTAACCGCGATGCTGGAATCGGACAGCTGCCAAGTCCATGAGGTCACCTTCAAGGCCCCCCCAAACGAATTTCAAGCACCACATCAGGCGGCGTTCCTGTGCACTTGCTGGTCAAGTTGGTGCAAATTGGTTACGCAATCGAAAGATAGTCAATCTCAACCACAGGCAACAGTGACAAATCTGGACAAGACTGGAGAAGCACATGTTGGTCAGCCTTCGGAAACTGACCCTTGCATTTTGCTTGTTTTACGAATAGATATCGGCTGTCGTATGGCCTGCTGACGGCGTAACAAGCTCACGTTAACTGAGGAAAAGATAAGCACAGCGAAAGTTACTCTTCCTTCCCGCCTAATTCTACAGTAGGTTGTGTTCTTGGACATGCCTCTGGTTTATGTAATTGCAGAGCGAATTGACACTTCAAAGATTAGGCTCAATGCTTTTTTTGTTGTATTATTGAACAAGGCATGCCACAGACGAACGATCTAAATACCAGATTTGCTGTGCTTGAACGTGATAAAGTTTTACAAAGGAGGTGTAGAATTGTGGATCAACAACCCAATATCATGTCGTAGAGCAAATGGATAATCGTGGAGTATCTGTTCATCCTGTACCAGGTCCAAATTCGAAGATTATAGAAAGGGCTAAGAAAATATTGGCAAGTCAAAGAGATGTGCCGCTTCTTAAGACCCTTGAAAGATGGGCACTAAAAAAATCCAAATCTTCCAAACAAGCCAGGCATCATTTACAACAGATCGTAGGAAGGTGTGCAATGTAATGTTTAATATTATAGCAGTCTTGGTTCTTTGCAGACAATCCTATTTCATGATGAATATAGTTCCATGTCTCTAAGGACTGATATCAATGATCCGGAGATTTCGAAGATAAGTCCGAAAATTCTTCCAAGTTCCTCAGCCTTTGTGAGTACAACTGCTTAAGTGGTGAAAAGGAGAAAAAGAGCTAAATTCATACACTGAAACCACGCTTGCGTTCCGCTCTCTTCTTTGCCTCGTTTCATTGAACTTATTTCGTCAAACGTAGCCTTGGGCCAAGAGGCCGAAACCATGTACCTTTTGGATCCTCTTGGGAACCTGTCTTCATGTCGCTTATTTTTTCACACCCACAAGAAAAGAAGTGTTTTTTAGCTTGGATCTCCTCTGAGATTGTGCTTCTTCTTCGGTTTTGGATCTCCTTTTGGATTTTGCTTTTGTTGGTGTTGTTGGTGTATGGTTTGTTCGGTCTTTGGTGTGTTTTCTTGACGTGGTTGCTTTGCGAATGGCCGCGGTCTACTTGTAAAACTAGCGAATCGCAGGGGTCGTTTCCTGACCCCTCGAACCCATGTAAACAATGCAAAGATGGTCAATTCTGCGGTCTACATGCTCATTGTCAGAATCAACCAACAACCGCCGAGATCTGGAGGATCAACGTTGTTTTGAATTTTAAATCTCCTACATGTTTTACTTCCATCATCTACCACGATAGCGATCATCGTTGTCGTAGGTTTCCTGCATCTGCTAGCAATCAGTTTCAACTACAGCAAATATCGTAACCGCCAGTACTCAGAAAATTGCACAACTACATCCATGACCACAGGTGTAAAGCAACAGGAATCACCACATGAGATATGACTTCGGTCGTCGGATCTCTTAGAACGTCATGCTGGCTGATTGAATCGCTGGCTCGAAAAGTCCTGATTTGGCATGCAGCTGAACAGATCCCGCAGCATCTACGGCTTCACTCATGCAAGGCATACCCTACCATACAGCTTCAGCGTGAAACATTTATGCTAGCCAAGACTGATGAAAGCTTTAAAGATCTTTGCAGGCTTGCAAATCAGAGTGGCTGGGGACAAGATAAGGAAAGCGGCTGGTAGGGGAGGGAGGGGGGAGAAAGCATTTTCCACAACCCGATCACCCCATCCAACAAACACAAGAAACAGGAAGGGGAGCAAGAACGAGACAGTGTCGAGACAATCTGGAAAGGTTCGCCAACAACCTAGCCGCGGTGTGCGGCTGGGATGTCGGTCGCTCCGCCAAAAACTCAGCCACATAAACCCGCTAAAGGAAATAAGTCATCCTGAGTTGGGGAAACAACCGGACGCGAGAGAATCACCTTTTGGTGCTTTTGCTCCCGGGCGACTCTGAGACACACAGCAGAAGCCAAGCTGAGTGATCGTACCCCGGCCCCTTGCGGTGACTGCCCTATGCATGCGGGCAATCGGAAAATTACCACAAGCCTTTTGACGAGGAACGTGTTGTAGAGGAGCACATGGATGTCGTGCACAAGATGATGTGATCCATGTGTCCGCTCGGATAAGCCAGCTACGAGGAAGGCCCTCTAATCGCAACTCAAACATCGACGACAGTTTGCCTGGCTTTCCAAAGTTGCAAATCTTCAGGTGCAAGTACCGGACTCCTTCCAGAAGTTGGGCCTTGATCGGCACGAAATGGTTAATGTTCCACGGAATCATTCCTGATCACAAGCCGACACTGAGCCGTGCAATCTTGTGCAGATACCGATATGTGATATTGGCATGCTGTGACGTTAGGCGAAACTAAATTCAGTCTACACTTCTGACACTTGCTGAAGCCACTGATCCCGTGCCTGCTTCCTACGTCCATAATGTTGCTTCCGACGTCGGAGCATGAACTACCGACGAACATAAAAACACCGTTGCTGGATCTTCTACAGCTGTTGCCAAGCTTGGGAAAATGAGACAACATTAGAGATGCTGTAGGAAAGAACTGTAAATGTTTGTCCAGGTCTGACCAGTGTTGCTTTGCCTGGCCGTGTCGTTCGAAACGGGCACGAGACAGTCAGCTTAAGCTGCGGGAAAACAGCGGGTCAATGGCACATGCTGACCTATCGGCATGCTATTTGGACGATGACGAGTCTCTGCGATCAAACTCGGCCTGGCTGAAGACATGTTGCCCTCTTGCTAGCAACGCCTGTGAGCTGGGAGAGTTAAGGTACTCCTCATAGCGGTAGTCACTCTGGCATAGCCTGGCGCACGAGGGCATCTATCGAGCCAAGTCACACCTTTCGCCTGAGAACCTAAGAGAAGAACAACTATTGATCTCATCGTTTCTAAGATCTTGTGAGGAGCGGGTGGGCATGCAGGCCGCCAACATAGTTGCCGCTGTTGTGCGATCCCGGCAGAGTGATCTCTAGCAGCGACTTACCCTTCAGATGATGGAAGCTGTCGCCCATCCATGTGGGAGACGCAACTGCTCCAGCTGCTTTTGTGAATGGAGAAAGGAGCAGGGCTGCCCGCATCATCCCATCCGCTCATCCGAAACTCTTCGCTGGATTGCCTGACAAATCCTTGCAGTCCTAGCAAGTGCCAGTGCCAGTGGTGGGACCAGGTGCATATGTCGTGCCAGGGTGCTTAACCTCTGCTGTTAGGATCAGCGGCTGTGGGCATGTACTGTCAACAATTCATCTCTGATCAGCCGCGTCCCAACATCATCTGACACATCTGAGAGTGCGGCGCACTGCCTCCCGAAGCACGCACAGCTGCATCGTACTGCCGTAAAAGATTGCTTGTACCTGCATTTGGAAGCATGTTGATAAATCATTGCCAATCGTGCCGGCAAGCAGCTGCTGCGAAAAAAAAGCAAACGGACGCCAGTTGCAAAGCAAACACATACACACACACACACACCCACCGACACACACACACACACACACCCGCGCGCAATCAATCAAATGAAGGACCCCGTCCGACTTCGAGGCCCTTGCGCCCGTTCTGAGCGCGCTCGAGGGAAGCGATGTGGTCTGAGAGGCGCTGTCGCTCTACCCAGAAGGCCTTGGCAAGTCGGACGACTTCGTGATGTCGTTGGGGCTCGTTTTGGCGGTGGGGCCCGTAGTCAACCGGTGTAGCCAGTTCAGGACGGCAACAAACGAGCATGCTGCAGCTAAAGCTATTGCCATAGTTTGCAGCATAGAATTATCTCGCCAATCTGTCCGTGGAAATCTGAAGAAGAATGGGCGCTTGATCAGCTTTTCTCTGGATCTGTCTTGCAGAAGGAAAGAGGCGGAAAACGCAGAGGAGTTTGCGCCTCCTCGCGCTCCGCCAGAAGCTGCTGGAGTCTCAAGGCAAGTGCAGCTGCATCCCCCTGCTTGCCAGACACCATACTGGGGATGCGCTTGCAAACCCCAGCCCCTCTTGGCCTTCACACTGCCAGATTGGCTAGTGATCAGGAGCTGCCCCCGGACCTCTTTTGCACTCGACACTTGATCGATTGCACTGTAGATTCCATCTGTGGGACCGGCCAACCGGCCGATCTCGTCACGCATCGCCTGGTCCTCCTCTCCGTCCAGCAGGGACACCTCCGAAGAGTCAGACTCGATGCAGCTTGGACTGTGATTTTGCCCATGGCCTCTTGCAGAGCGCCCGCAAAGGGGCCCTTGTAAGGGACAACGCTAGGATGTTAAGAATCGCTGACGCTCAGGCAAGGCCTCACCGTCCGAACCCAACACCTGCAACCGCATGCCAGCACATGCAAGCCTGCGCGTGAAACACGATGGCCAACCTGCTGGCACAAGGCGTCGTTGGTGCGACGAAGCCGCTCCACTTCTGCACCTTGGTTCACAACTGAACCGCAAAAGATCAGTACTCCTGGGCGAAGCTGCAGCCAGAGATACTCAGCGTCTGCTGGGCAGCGTCGAGTTGTGCACACTGCTCCTAGCATAAGCCGCAGTCGGGTATGGTCTGGCTGATCTCTGCGACTTCTGCATTCAAGCTCCTGCGAAAAGCCAAGAAAGCCACGTGAAGTCCAACCCAACCCAACACCCGGCAAAGGTGTGATGAATGATGATGAATGTGCCTCTGAGGGCAGGGTCTGGGACCGGGCCGAGGCTGGGACTGTCGCGGCGCTTCCAAATCAAATGCTGGTCCGGAGGCCGAGAAGAACTCTTCACGCGAGCTGTGAAAACCAAATCTAGCTACTGCTGCAATATTGGATTTCCAGCAACCGAGCTCTGGCGTGCACTTACCATCCTTCACCCCACCACCGTCCTCGAGCTCTGACTGCTGTGCAATACGAGCCTCAGCTCTTTCAACCTGCAGAACAGCCAGCCAGCTTTGAGTTCTGATTGAACCTCTGGTTTTCACACTTGCACCAATAGGAAAAACTGCATGGCCTCAGATGCTAGGCGAGCTGCCCTCTCCAGCAAATGCCTGAATCTGACAGTTTGTCGGGGTAGTCGAATCTGCAACCGGGCCTCCGATCTTCGGCGGCAAGCTTCTCTTCAGCTGTGAGATCTTCTACCTGCCACAGCACCCCTCAGAATACTCCCGGAACTCGGAGGGAAACTCATCAGGGTCCGGACTTTGCGCAGAAGCTGCTCACTTTGTGTGACAATGACCTCTCGGATGTTCAATTGCCTCCATGCATTCTACATCATGGTCTGTGCCTCCCGCATGAGATCTTCCTCACTTCGAAGATCAACAGTCCCCTGCGAACTCGGTGCTTCAAGTACTGTAAACCGCAAAAAAACCCTCACCTTGCGTAGAGCCGCGATATCGGCCTGAACTTGGTCCTCCGCGACTGCATCTCGAGACGCTCAAAGAGTGCGCACAGGGAATGAGTCCCTGGCGATTCGCTTCTCCAGCTGGGCATTCACCGACTCCAGGTCCTGGCTTTATAAAGCGACCCCGACGAACCCTGACCGCGTCAAGAGCGTGCCGTCTGATCGTCTCATTTCGCGAGCTTCTTGCCACGTGGGGCTTTTCGGGACAGTGTCTGATCGCGTCCAAATGCCGAATGCCAAGTGCTGAGCACACAGCTGTCCAGCCACATGCATAGATACATAGGTACATAGATACGTAGATACACGTACATACATACATACATACATACATACATACATACATACATACATACATCATGATCATACATCTGTTTTCTGCTCTCTAGGCGATGAATCCAAATCCGGAGCAGCCGTGGGCGTACAATAATCAAGGGCCGTGACACGAAAGGGGGGAGCCCGAATGTCAAAAAGTGCGTGGGTGGGCGGGCGGGCGTGGGTGGGTGGGCGGGTGGGAATGTGGCATGTGAGGGAAGGTGGGCGTGAGTGAGTGAGTGAGTGAGTGAGTGAGTGAGTGAGTGAGTGAGTGAGTGAGTGAGTGAGTGAGTGAAGGAGTGGAGTGAGTGGAGTGAGTGGAGTAAGTGGAATTAGTGGAGTGAGTGGAGTGAGTGGAGTGAGTGGGGCAAGTGGAGTTAGTGGAGTGAGTGGAGTGAGTGGAGTGAGTGGAGTTAGTGGAGTGAGTGGAGTGAGTGGAGAAAAAAAAGTGGGTGCGTGGGTGCGTGGGTGCGTGAATGCGTGGGTGCGGGTGCGCGGGCGCCTGGGTGCGTGCGTGGGTGCGTGGGTGCGTGGGTGCATGGGTGCGTACGTGGGTGCGTGGGTAAGTGGGTGGGTGGGTGGGTGGGTGGGTGGGTGGGTGGGTGCGTGCGTGCGTGCATGCGAGCGAGCGAGCGAGCGAGCGCGCGTGTGTGTGTGTGTGTGTGTGTGTGTGTGTGTGTGTGTGTGCGTGCGCGCGTTCGTGCGCGTGCACGTGCGCCGTGTGTGTGTGTACGTATAGGATATCTATGCATATATGTATATGTAAATGTATATAGTTGCTAATATCTGTTTCTATGTATACACGTATACGGGTGCGTGTATGTGCATTTGCGTATGTATGTAACAATCTATGCATGCACGTATGTTTATATGTGTATATGTATGTGTATGCATATGTATATGTATGTATGTGTATGTATGTGTATGTATGTGTATGCATGTGTATGTATGTGTATGTATGTGTATGTATGTGTATGTATGTATATGTGTGTATGTAAGTTTGCATGTCTGTACGTGATACATATATATATATATATAAGTACAACTATACCTGTGTATCTATATAGATATCTATATTGATATATACATTTACATACATGCACAGTTACCTACGTACGAACGCACACACACACACACACATATATATATATATATATATATATATATTTGTACACACACGCACACACACACACAGAGACACACACACACACGCGGAGACAGACACATATCATCGTCTCTGCTGTGCCTGCGTCTGTCGCGTGATTGTATGAAATCATCAGTAAATACATGTTATGTGCAAAATGTTGTTTGTGTACAGTTATTGTACTTACACATACTAAATGGTTTATCGATGCAAGTATAAGATAGCAAGCCATCCAGTGTACCTGTTCAAGCCACTGCTTGTGTGTGTGTGTGTCCAATGACCTGTTTGCCAATACTGCGCATGAACTAGTCTCTTGATGTTGTGATTGTCTCACTTCCTGCGGAAACGCGCTTTCTCAGCCCAAAAGCGAATGGCGGAATAGGATGGGACCGACCCAGGTTAAATTTCAGATGTAGGGCATCAGTGACTGCCACTTTTCTACTCCTGTCGCTTGGCAGCTTCTTGCGTGAGTGTCTCGGCGTCCTACGGGTGGGCACAGCGACACATCCTGAGGCAGCCGCCTGTCCACCCTACATCTTGAAGTCCATGCTGGAAAACCCCAAAACAAGCAAGAAACACATCTGCCGCACCAGTGTGCTTCGGGAAATCAGTTTATATTCTACGGCTTGTACAGTGACGAGTGTCCAGTGACTAATGTTGCGTTCTCGGCACGCACCCTGCCTGGATCTCTGAGAACGACAGTTCCCTTCTCTTGGGTATTTGGTGCCTTCCTCGTGTAGCATCAGCAGTAGGTCACCTCAGGAATCAATTACATCGAGGGGTGTCTAGTAAGTCTAACAGTCTTGGTAGACCGTAGTTTTGTCCAGTGGTTGCATCCCATGTTTGGAATTGCTTCGCAGCGGAATTCCGTGCATTCCGCAAACTCGAACCATACATGCCCACAGGCTCCGAAACTTCTTCGCTCAGCAATATTCCTCCCCCCCCCTTCTGAGTACGCACACGTTGTAGCGGCTGGGTCCAAAACCAGATGTCTGAAATCTGGTAACCCTGGGCCAGGAGTGAGCGCCGAAACCCTAAACCCTCGTAATCAGATTAGACGACTCTTCCTGTAGATTCTACAAGACACCTATAGTCTCCATCGAAGTTCCCCTTGTGGTTACCAAGTTGTATGGTTAGGTTTCCGACAGGGCACCGACTCTCCCGAGTTGCTCATACCCACAGCCTAGCAGGAGCTTTGGTACCACTGAATGAGTGCGTGTGTATGATGGGTATATCGGTTTAGCACGGCCCTTTAGGTTTGGTCAAAATATACATGTATACACACGGGCTTTGCGGGTCTCACCTCGGCGAACCCAACATGTCATGTCCCGCCGCTTACATTATCATATACGTAGCAACTTCTAGCTGTGTGGCTGTGCGCACCTGCAGACGCCAACAGGCCAACGTAGTAGCCAAGCCGCGCGGCTTAAATCACAAGGTTCTCCTTCGGAGTGTTCCAAGCGTTGTATATATATATATATACAACTATACACACGCACACATATATATATATATATATACATACGAACGTCTACGCATAGCTTCATCTTATAGTGACTTCGATGTCTTAGTTAATAAGTATACAGTTTTGGAGAAACGCCGAAGAAGGACACCTCTCACAACAGCTGGCACCATCAATTTCAGCAAACTCTGCCAAGGATTGTAGTGCGCTTGGTGCAACCAACTTACATGTTGGCCAGTTTGCAAGACGATGCATGTCTCAATCGGGAAGCGCATTGCATTCGAGACCTGATTCTCTCTACACTGTTAAGGATTTCTGAGTGTTGCAGTACCAGTGGCAGCCGATGCTGCCAAGGCATCAGTCCATCAACCATCTAACATTAACCTCATTGGACTGCCTCTCTTGCACACTTGCGTCCCAAGTGTTAGCCATCTTCCGCAGCTGACGCCTATCGCTCTGAAAACAGAGGTGGGGGTTGCTGTCGCCACGACTTTGAGGCTTCACAACGCCTGGCTTGGTGAAACCTTGGAACGTTGAAAATCTCGGACTGCCTCCCTATCCTGACAAAACACGAAAAACTCTGGTGCCCCCCTGAGTCCCCATGGACGCATTCCTTTGCATCGTGCAACTGACAGGAAGGGATGAAGGGATCACTTGGCTTAATTCTAAAGTCTTGCCTTAACGGATTCAAAGGAGGGGGCGCCACATCATGGCATGGGCGGTTTGCGGGCTGCAGGCCATCTGACAGCCCGTGCTTTTTTGAAGGAATCATCTCAAGTCTGACCCGCTTCTAGACTGCTTTCGGCCTGATCTGCAGAGGTGAGTTCAATGATCTCTTAAACCTATACAGACTCGTTACAAGTGATTCCTAGCCCCCTCCTCTTGAATACCAATGAGGTGTCTTCAACTACTTCCTCTAGGGTAGACGGCGGATTTCATATGGCCACAAGATATGATCACGGTTTGGGGTTCAGGCTGTTCGGGTAGACAAATCTCATTGCCATGTTCCTGTGCCCAAAAGTGTTGTTGAAGGACAATTGGCTCGCACGAGGTGCGTGTAGTGGCGCACAGGCCGAGGGCAACGCGAAAGCTAGCGTGCACAGAGCGACGACGATTGGGCAAAGTTTTATTTGCCAAGGTAGGCAGGTCCCGCTTGCACCAGTCAGTCTTGGAAGCCTTTCTAGCTTTCGACCTTAACGGAAAAACAAAACAAGCGACACTCACTTTAAACAAAAGGCCATCCACGTTCGGCATGTGTTCAGGTTGCCGGGGAGAACATGCATCTGACCGCCGCATCCCCTGTCAGCCCCGCGGGACCACTGGTCCCATATGGTATGTATCTTGACCCTAATCCCGAAACCTAAACCATTATCATATGACTCCACAGTGCATACGTATATATATATATATATACATATACACACACCACATCCAAATGGATGTATATGTAAGCACATGCATACATGTATGAACATATCTATTCATTCACATACATAGACGCACTTGGGCAGGTAAGTATATAGATAGGTAGATAGGCAGGTAAGCAGGTTGACGGATAGCCTGCATGCTCGGATCACAGGTATTTGCGCTAACTGAATATAGTGTCTTTGTGGAGATCTGATGCGGCTTCGTTGATGTTCACCGGGGCCGGAAGAATCAGTAATAAAACGAAAGCACTAAGACCCCTGTAACATATAAGTGCTTTGAGGCCTTGTGAAGCTCGTTCCTGAATGCAGAACTTGGGTTCTTTATGATCCTGGATTCAGATCTCATAGTGCTTATGATTAGGTTTCTGGGTCTGAGGGGCGTCCCTCGCGCCCTATCAACTTGCTTATGCCGTAGTGGCTTGAAATTGAAGGCTTCCAGCAAGTCTGACACTTGTCCTCCGGGTCTCGGACAGCTCAGAGCCGCTTTTGAGACTTCCTCCCCATGGCAAAAACTTGTCCTCCCTCGTCTTTTCAAGCTCCGAGACTCCCCGGTCTACCTATAGGCTTCATGGTAGTTCTATGTTAACCAAATTTTATATGACAATTATAGGCTCCTAACCATAAAACTGGGTAGCCAAAAGACGGAACTACAATGGCGACTGTAGGTACTGCTCAGCCTGGAGAGAGCGCAGTCCGTTTCCCTAAACCCCATAAAGCTTTGGAGTCCCGCCCTGCCAGTGAAACCTGGACAGAGCATCTA